GACTTTAAGGCAATTATCCCGGCCATCTAATACACTATAAACATGAATTTTTCAGAGGCTATGAGGCACCATAATCGAGATTCCAACATCAACAATTACTCATATACCATTAATTTATCTCAAATTCTATAATTCTATATATAGTGAACCTTAAACTTAATTAATCCTTCAATATAAAATCTAAAAAATCAAAAGGAGTATAGAATGACTACTTCCTTCAAGGAAACTACTAAAAGGCTGAACAAGAACGAAAGTGGATGGCCTCGAACGCAAAGCTCGGCCTCGTCTATCTCTAGGGTACGCCGCTGATCGGGGGTCACGGCAAGAGCTACTTGCTACGCTCCTTGGATTTGCTGGTATGCTGGTACGCACGGCGAACAGGGAGATGGTGTCGCTGCTCACCATGTCTCCTCTCCATGGTCGATCACGGCTGCTGCTCGTGAATTCCTCCTCGGTAGGCTGCTGTGCGGCTCTCCGGGTGACGATAGGGCACACCGGCGATGAAGGAACAAAGGATTTATGAAGGCTGATACCAATTTCAAAGAAATTACAAAGGAACAAAGGAACAAAAGAAATTTCAAAATTGATACCAATTTATTTATATAGAAAGTTGTGTTATTAATCGAATTGCACCACTTACAACAAGTATAATTTAATTTTTATTTTTTTATAAAAACTAAAGTAATTTTTACTATATTTCCTCTTATAGTAAGTCAACATATTTCATTACAAAGTCAAAGTTACTATTTTGGATTATTTCATAGATCTCTTTCAATATATATAGATATAGATAATGTATAATATAAATATTTTTTTTCTATTAATTTATATGAAATTTGTTATGATATTGTGAATCACAATATTAATTTTATAAAATTGGTTCGTTGCAGTTATTGATGAAATCAAAAATATTTTTGAACTCCTTAAATAACTTAATCATCATCATCACTTATTATTTGTTATTAATATTGAGATATCAATTCTATTGCAGTATTGTGGTACTTATATCAATAAGAATTTTACAATTTATTTATAAATTTATTTTATACTTATATTTTGTAATGTTTTAACGTATATTTCGATCTACATATGGTTGGATGCCAAACAAAGCAGAAAAACGCACGATTTGTTATAAGGGATAAAAGTTGTTTTTTTTTTAAAGAAGATAAATAGCTACATTTATTTTGATATTGTGGAAAATTGTGTTTACAACTTCTAAAAAACTCAATCATTTGAGTTATTGATAAATCAAAGGATTCTAAAATAACCCTCTAGATTAACTGATTTTTTGATGATACGATAAAATTATTTTGGTATATGGCTGGTCACCAAATGAATAATAAATTACCGTAATTTATTATTAATGTTGATAAATAACATTCTATTGTAACATGGGGTTAAATATCATAATTAGATTTTTATAACTGGTTTTCAATTTTTAATTTGTAAGTTTATTTTCAATTTTATTGTGCAAATTCAAATAACAATTTCTTAAAAAAAAAAATATTTAATATATGTTTTTTTTTTAATATGTGTTGTTTAGTTGGTTACCAAAAGAATAAGAAATTCCAATGATTCCTAATTAGTACAAAGAATTAGATTTTTACTGCGATAATTATCACAAACTAATTTTTAAAATTGATACCACTTTATTTAGATAGAAAGTCGTATTAAATATTAACCGAATTGCACGATTTACAACATGTAGGTATAATTGTTTTTTATTTTTTATTTAAAAATAATAAAGTAACTTTTATTATTTTTCCTTTAATAGTAAGTCAATCTATTTAATTACAAAATCAAAGTTACTATCTTAAATTATTCCATCAACCTCTTTCAATATACTAGTACGAATCCCGTGCGATGCACGGATAAGAGATATTTATTCCTATTTATAAATTAAATATGCTCATTAAATAATATTTATGATATGTAATCAATATGTAATACAATTTACCTATATTAATTTATTGAAAATATTATATGAAATCTAAATTGTGCAAAATTACATAAAATTTATATTTAAAATTAATATACAATCCGTACGGTGCACATAACTTATAATAAATTACATTGTATTCATTTAAAAAAAATGTCATTTTAAAACTTTCATACAAAAATTCAATTTGACTACAATGTGATCCTATCAAATCATTATTTTGGTAAAATTTTATCGTATATCTAAAATATATGTGAATAATGTGTATAATTATAAAACTTATATTGTTTCATTAACTAAAATGAATATATTTTTGGTTAAGCAGTCCAAATCAAAAAATTTAAATAAATGAGTAATTTATTAAATTATAAATAATTTTTGACTATTCTATTTACGTCCAAGTTAATATTGACCCAAAAGTTATAAATAATTACTTATTTGGCTTTTAAATTTTGAACTCAAATCTGGGATAAGCAGTAAATTTCTCTTATATATTTCACACACACACACACACACACACATATATATTATCTCGCAAATTTCAAGATTTGTTGGGGGTTATCTTTCATTCAAATCTATCAACTAATTCTCTAGGACTAAATTACAAACTTTAAATTTTATTAACCAATATTTGTTCAAACATCTTTCTGATTATCAAGATAGATACATATCAATTTGTCGAATCATCATCAATATCTTATGGCAAGTTATTATGTGAATATACTAAAATTTGAACATCATATCACCTTTATTTTATAACAATCAACCTAAAATTCAACTTTTATACTCATACCAAATAAAATTCATACAATTTATTTTGTTTTCAAAATTTTCAAATATATTTATATCCATACCCATTAAATTCGGACATTTCATCCCAATAAAATCGTCCACAAAATTCAAACATTTATTAATAACAGCAAAGTTTATATACACAAAAAAATGGTCTTCAGATACCTCAAATAAAAATGCTCGCTTTAAACCATAAAATTATCATGTTTAATAATTTTAAAATTTTTATTCGGGAATTTAGTAATACAAATAAATACAAACTTACATAATTTTCTTTCAACAATGTTCACTACTGTTTTAGTTTTTAATATAATAATAATATAAATATCGATATATTTGAATTTATATATATCAAATATATTTAAATTTATAATCATATTAAAAACTATATAAATATTTATTAACTTAGTAAAAAAAAATATATAATTGACCAGTCCATTCAACCAATTCTGATTGGTTCATTGAAAACCAGTTCGTTCAAAGAAATCTAACCGTTGACGATTCTCGATTCAACAACCTGTTTGACCCAATTTTCATAACAATAGTAGTTGATAATTTTTTTATTTTTATTTTCTAATTTTTTTTTTTTTGGTCGAAACGATAGAGGATTTATATATAAACGCACAAATGTGCAAAGTTACAGCCACTAGCTGAATAATACAACCGACGACTGAGAAAACTGGGAGGACGGGTCCGAAGACCGCCTAGATCCGAAAACTAGCAATGCTCGAATACTCGGCAACACACTAAATACAAACACACAAAACAACAACAAAAAAACAAACACAAGACCCCACAGGGTAATTCCCGAGTGTCGGACCCCCACAGAGTAATGAAAATGACACTCGGGTGCACAGAGGCCAACGGCCCAGACCTAAAACACAACGACAAACACAAACACAGATACGAACACACTAAATAAGAACAACAAACCAGTCTACAACAAAACCAAAGAAGGAAAAACACAGCTAAATAAAAAAATCCCTTCCACAGCAAGTCAGTCAGCTCGAACCAGCGGAGAACAGTCAATATCAAAGGATAATCCAAGTCCAGGGACGGCTCCCGAAACTGCCACAAGGCCTATACAAGAAGTCGAGCCCGAACACAGACCACACTCCAAAACAACCCGCCTCAACCGGAAGGACAACCAAACACGCACCCACTCTAGCACCTCCCGAGCACGCCTAACACCACTAGTCGAGCGTCGGAGCACCAGATTTCCGCCGTCTAACACCACTAGACAAAACAGGGGACGGCTCGGGCCCTCAGTTCCGACAGGCGTCAGAGCCCCACCCCGCCTCTCAACCCACTATCCAGCCAATATAACCGCAGACCACCGACGTCCGGACTCGACAACCCCGAACGGAGATCTGCCGAAAAACAGGACCGCTCGAGGTGGCCCTCCGGTGGCCCTCCATTCGCGCACAGAATCAGAAATAGTAACAGAAGCGGGAGAAGAAAACGGCATACTCACCTCCAATCGAGACCGGCGGCCAGTCACCTGCAAGCCGATCGACGACCAAGGGCACGCTGCCTCCAATCGCTACCACGCCGGCGAACGAAGGGCAATCCGGACCGACATCACAGGCACGCCGCAGCAACACTGGAGGACCGGGACAACAGAGGAGGGGTGGCGGTTAAGCGCAACCACCGGCCGGCGCCGCACTGTTGCTGAGGAAGGCAACTCAAATCGACGAGGGTTTGGTTTTTAGGATTTGGGGATTTTTTTCTCTCTCTCAGTATTCTGGTGTTGTTTTATTTTCTAATTTTATTAACCTCTATAATTCTATAATTCTCATAAAATTAAATAATTATTTTTTAAATGTATTTATTATTTAATTAAAAATAATTCAAAATATAGAAAACATTGTAAATTAATTATTATTTTTGTCTCAAAACTAAATTTTTACTAGGAAAGATTGTTAATACTCACGACATAAAAATTGCAACAAAAAATAGTAAAAAAACTATTTTTGCAACATTTGGGACTAAATTTGCAACACAATCAATCTTATGGGACTAAATTTGCAATTTTCTCCCTTTTCAACCTAACGACTAAGGGTCACGTTACTCGTATTTGACACTCCCATTAATGCTGACGGTTTTGGGACTACTTTCGCACCGAAAAAAAGTTAAGGACTTAATTTTCACCGAGTAAGACTAATTTTGCAAGGGCCCAATCTAACGGGAACAAATTTGCAAGAAAGAACAGCAGGAACAATTATCTTGAACGTCAAACATAACTCTTTCAAAAACTCTAGATCAATTCCAACAATTGAAATTAATCTTTAAAATAACGAAGACGTACAAATGAAAGTCGCGAAAATAATAATTAATAAATAAATAAATAAAACCAGTTTCCGTATCCTACCCTCATTATTATCTAAATAAAGTTAAAAATAGACTACGTTAATTTTAAACAATTTTCAGTAAAGCATAAAATATGCTTAAATAAAATTAAGATTCTACATCAAGGATCACCAGTTCTGCACCGGGAGGCAACCTTGTTTTGAGCTGCTTTGCAACAGCAGTTGCTTTATCGCAGTGGATTCTGGTGTAACAAAGGTTGAATGAAGGATGGATTATCAAGCTCTTGAGAGAAACGGCTCTATCCATTAAACACAATAAGAGCTCAACTTCAACAACACCGCCCTGAAATCCAACAAACTCGATTACCTTGAGATGCTCGTGCTCTGGTTCTGCCTCCATCTCCTCCACACGCTCCCTTTTATATACCTCATAATGAGACGGCCATGAAACCTGCTACAAAGGGAAAGCAAAAATGAAATAATAGAAAAAGCACAACAAATATGTATCCCCCTAGGTTCTTTTGTCTCTAGACCACTATTGTTAGTGCCTCTCATTNAATATTGGCCTAATCATGCAATAAATGGTTAAAAGGAACAAGTTCTTTTGTACAAGAAGGAACTCGAGCTATAATCTAAAAGCAAAAAACATAATATGGCTTTCGCGAAACACGGCAAACCATGTAAAGATATTCACAACTAAGCATTCTTAGTTGAACCACCACCGGGAATCCGAGAATGTGCTTTTAAAAAGATCAACATGCTATGCCCACTATTGGCCCAGGCAGGGACATCCCTTTATACTGAGAGCTAGCTATAGAGCAGAGTTCCTTGGGAGTGGGCTATGAGACTGGAGTCAGTCCGGTAAGTAAGTTAAGTTGATCCTCTGATGGCGTCTTCCTACCCCAACTGGGACTAAAAGGCTATGTTGTTGTTTGTTGTTGATAGTTTTTGGGACTGTGTGGGGCCTCGAGCCAAGTCATCCCACGCTGGACGCACTACCCAATAGTTGATCGATCATAGTTACGAAATCACATTGATAGCCTCGACTCGTGCCGTGTTTAAAGCTCGGAGATCAATAAAGCGGAGAAGTGAGCGAAGTACGAGAACAGCTTTTAGTCGTTGTTAAGTTTTTTTTTAACTCATTTTAGAAAACTAACACGTATGAAGAAAAAAACGAGGCCTAGCAAAATTAGCAATGAGAATGGGAAATAACAAGTACGATTCACCTTTAACGTGAGTCTCTGCAATAAACAAGAAGTCTCCAATATATCCGCACAAAAGAGAAGGCTCTCAACAAAATATCCACACAAGTGCAGCTCCAAGCGCTTGAGATTCTTCATGCTCGGTAACTCTGGGAAACTTTTAAATCTCTATCGATTTAACATGTGGTAAGTACAGATTAGTGAACTGGGGTCTATTGTCATTACTTGTGAATTGGGAATTAATAAAACAGACACTAGCTAAATAAAAATGCTACCTTGAATTCCAAGTCGAGCTCAAGGGTCTCCATTCCCGAGAGGAAGCCCGAAAAGTGGCAGCTGTTGTCAACAACAAATTCCGCACAATCTCCCCCAATGGAAGCCTCCACGAGATTCGGGACGTTTGTAATAGTTCCCTTTGGCCTCTGACCGCTGTACGAAAAGGACAAAAGACTAGTGGCTGAAGAAATTTCTATGTATTCCAACGGGCACTCCATTATTTCCAATATTTTAAGATTGGGAACAGGGCTCGAAATCCGAAGCCGCGCAAGGGATTCCGAATCCTCCAATCTAAGAAGCCGAAGCAAGGGGCAAGCGGATAGAATGTGCTCCACGGCTTCCTCACTCACCTGCAGTGAGCTCAATCGGACAACTTCAAGGAAACAAATGGCTTGACTGGTAAGAAACCTAGTCGTGAGGGTGTATTTGCTTGACAAAATATCAAATTCCAAGCAAAGGCATCGTGACCTCTTTTCAAGAGCAAATATGATCCACCTGTCGATATCGGGCACGCAAGTTCCGCCGTCGAGGTCAAAACATACGGTGAACTCGTCCAAAGTCGTCCCCTGATGTGATAGGAGTGTGTTGTTGACCCAACTAATGAAATTTTGCCTTTTGGCCTCAACGGATTCAGAATTTACGTTCTTGAACTTTTTTGGGCCTTCAAAAACCAATCTGCGGGTGAGTGTCCATAGTTTAACCCACCTACGAGACAATATGGTGGTTACTGCAGCTTGTTTCAAACTCAACCGAGAGAGAATGGAAATGAGAATGTCGTCGGGTAGCTCATCGATCAGATTTTCCGAATCACTTGTCACGTCGAATTCGGGGCTAACAACAGTGTTTGGTGGTTCACTAAAGGCGTTGCTTTCACCACAAACATCATCTGGAGGTTCACTTATTTCATCATACTGTAAATCACATAAATAAAATCAAAGAATATACATACATATATATACAAATATATATGTATGTGTGTGTGTGAGTGTGTGTCAGTATAGCTGCTCGGGCAACTTACACTTTGCAGATCCCTTAATAATGAAGATATAATTTTAGATCTTCTGTTGATCCTGTCAAGCCAGTTTGGATAAGCTGCAAGCATGAATAAATTGTGTGGATAAAGCATCAAGCAAGCTCCTTTCTTTTTGTCAACCTAAGGTATCACAGCTGGTACGAAGATATCATGTGAATTAAGAATCAATCAAGTTTCTTTTTCTTTGGCCGCCTTAAATCTAAGAGTACCTTGTAGTAGATAGCCAGATTTCAAACATAAACTCATTCATCAAAATATGAAAAGTAGATAAATTACCATTCTTATACATATTCAAGCGAGACTGGTTTAGTCGCTAATGAAACACAGACGGGATTTTTAAAGTTTGATCAGTTCAGTTCGGACCCAGGAATCTTTGGTCGACCACAGGGGCGGACACAGGACAACGAGGGCACAAACTACGGTCAACGGTCAAATCAATATTTAACTAATTAAAAAAATAAAAACCTTAAATCTTTACCAGACACCTCGTTTCTTATTTAATAGCTAGGATTGAGTCCCACATTCTAGGAATAGACAAATTTGATCCAAAACCCTATATAGTATATGCATTTATGTATTGGGAGAGAAAAATAAATAAACAAGAAGTTGAGTATAGCATAAGCATAAATTCCACAACTTAAAAAATAACATACTATTGAAGATTAAATAATTCTAAACATTTCCTTTTTATTTATTTTTATATTGAAATAACTTTGCATAATAATTAATAACATGTTTTTTTTATGTCAATATAAAAAATAGTAATACATTTATACATATAACATATATATACTAGACTACACAAAATTCTACCGGGGCCCGTGCCCCTATGGGGCCCTATGTAGATCCGCCTCTGGTCGACCATAGCCTAACACACAAAAGTAACCGTGGCATGCTGCACAACAAAATAGAACAGAATTAAACACTGCGGCGGTAAACAATATGAAAANTCAACAAATAGTCGAACATGCACACTATTCATAATAAGAAGGATAACTGAATAATAACTTTCAAGTTATAACAATTGTAGTCATTGTCTTAGAAGAAAGAATCACTATCCCTCTTACAAACAATTCATCTTACAAACAATTCACACGTCTTCCAAAGTCGCTCATCCCACACTTAGTTGGACCTAAGAACTTTTGAAACAGCATTGATCAATTGGGAAAGCTCTCATGGGCACGATTCAATGTACTCTCCACCATTTATGCGGCGTCTTGCTTCACGTGATCTCGTCACATTGGCTTTGGATAAAAAGAGACTAGAGAAGGACTTATATTTATGTCTGGTGATAGAATTAGCAACTTCTTTCTCCTTCCAACAGGCTGGTCTGCCCCTAGCCTAATTTCATTTATTTTTTTCTAGCTCGATGAATATTGCAAAACTAATTGCCAAACATACAACTTTTTTTCATTGCAAATTTGGTCATAATATTCCATTCTTAAAAAAAACAATTCATGAATATTGATCAAGCTTCATCCTACAATCCAAGACCAAAACACATAAAACCCAATGAGCCAACAGAACTTTGAATCACCATATCCAAACCACAGAACAACGAGAATGTGATACGAACAGAATTTTCTCAACCACCGATGATTTCAAACGCACTAATTTCATCATTAAATTTGACCGAGAAAATTCATGCCCTATTAACAATTCGAGAAGAGAGAGTGAAGATAGAAATTACCGGCGGAGAAGGGTAGTTGGCGGCGGCGGCGGCGGCGGCGGGTGTTCAATGCGGCGGAGCGATAGCCGGACAGAGGCAGAGGAAGGAGTATATGATAATGTAGGTTTATTTTGTCGCGCTTGTATACAAATATGGCCACTCAAAACATTTTTTTTTTAACCATATAATTGTGAAAAAATGTGGTATTGTTAGTAGACATGGCCAAAATCTGGGCCAGGCCTGGTGGCCCGAAGGGTTGGGTTACACGGACCCTGAACCTGCACAGACCTAGGTCGTGCCAAGTCCATGGCCCGACAGGCCGAGTTCGGTCCCTAACTCACCCAATTAAAAAAGAAAAAGAAAAAATTAAAAAACAACGTGTTTTTCAGGGTCGGATTGGACCCAGCCCGGGCCGGCGGGCCAGGGTCGACAAAGAGAAGGCCCTGGACTTCCGAGTCAGACACAGACTCGTGGTCAAATCCTTATGTATTATTTATTTTAACCATTGATCAAATTTTAAAACATAATGGCCCTGTTTGGTAGATAGCGGATTGAAGATAAATTAGCGTATTGAACTTAATTGAGAGGTTTGACCCGTCAAATCCACTATTGAGCTTGTTTAGTAAATAGCTTATTTGATAAACTTTTTGGGTCGAAAACTCTAATTTAGAAAAGCTCAAGACCTTTATCTAATTTATAATTTTAGTATTATATGCATAAATATAACTTATAATAATCTATGTTTAAAATATAACTAGTATACACGGGTGTTTGTTAAAAAATTATTCTTAAATTTTAAAATTAATGAGAAAAATTATTTTAAATTTTATTTACTTTTTTACCAAAATATATAATATTATATATTTCAGAATGACATTTGTTACTTGTGCAACTTACATGCGTTATATTATAGTAATTTTTATAACTTATATCATATAACTACTTGAAATATAAATATAATTGATAAATAATTTTATTTTTCTAATTATAATTAAAAAATAATTTTATTATTGTTACAAAATAAATAAAATTTATTTTTTATGTTAAATCGAAACTCATCAAGAGATGGTTAATTTGATATATTATACATGTAAAACTGATAAAAAATACAAAAGTTATTAACTTTTAAAATACATTTACAATTCAATGGTTATAATAAGAAATGATATTAAAATATAATTAATACATGTAAAATGTCCATAAATAATCAATATATTTATGGATAGTTCGGACCTAATTATTTTTGGATTGGGAGCAAGGTTTTCAAAATCGAGATTCTAAGTAGAATCGTTTTGGGTGCAGAATCGAAATCGCAGAATCGGAATCATAGAATGGTAAGACTCTACTCAAAACATCTCAAAGTAATTATTTTAACCAATGTTATCAGAACCGGACCGGTCATCGAACCGGTCGAGGTACTGGTTCAATGGTTTACTGGTCGGACCAGTGGTTGAACCGGTTGGACCGGTATTTAATATATTAATATTTTAAAAAATATTTCATATTATATATATATTAAATTCTATATATAAAACATAATTAAATTAAATATTTTTTACAATTAAAATATTTAAATACTTAAAATATATTCATAAATAATTTATAAATATTCATTCTACTTAAAGATTATGAGATTAAGCATATATGAGATATTAATATTATAAAGTATTTTATATGAGATAAAAAGTAGATATAAGAAACACAATTAATATAATACAAATATATTATTGCCTCGTAGTAATGACCAAATTTCTTTACAAATACAATCAATACTTAATATACTACAAAATACAAATATATAATCATTACCTCTACAGTAGCAATGTACGGCCCATTTGCAAGAGAGTAGTATTTTGTTATTTCTTTATTGTTCTTTCTTAAACATTGTGCTTAATTACTATTACTAGAAACAAAAAAAGGAAGATTTGCAGATCTTCTCGCCCTCATTCCTTTTCTTCGGTTCTTCGTCTTCCAAGAGCAGATCTGCTCGCCCTCATTCCTCTTCTTTGGTTCTTCGTCTTCCAACCTTCTTGCCCGCAACAAAAAAAGAACAAATATTTTCCACCCTATTTCAAAAAGCAAAATTCGAATAGAGAATTCATCTTCTAGATCTAGTTGGAGTTGGCCGCATCTTAGTTATTTTTTTGGATCCATGAGGAGCCAATCCAACTCGATTGAATTCATAAAATCGTACCTCTTCCATTTTTTCATTATTCTTGTTTTGTTATTCTGGAATTGAAATTTTATTGCGCAACCCGGCAAACCGCCTGAACCGGTACCGGTTCGCCGGTTTTAACCGGTTCTTGACCGGTTCTTTCGGTTAATAACGGTTTTTGCATATTCCGGTTTTTACCAAGGGACCGGACCGGTAAGGAGTCCGGTTCCCGGCTGAACCGGTCGAACCGGCCGGTCCGGTCCAGTTTTGATAACATTGATTTTAACAAGTTTTATGGTAATCATCAAGAATATGTATCAAAATACTAANACCACCACTTATTTTTTAAAATATAAATGTTCAAATTTTAACATTTTGCGTGTTAAAACTTCAAAGTTAACACTTATTAATACATATACACGACCATTCAAACATCACATATAGTCCAAACTCCAAAGTCAGAACCAAAGTCACGGCCATCAAGGCGTCAATAAAAAATTCAATCTTCCTAATTCCTAAAACTGTGATTCTGTGAACTTCCCCTGTTCCAACAATGATAAAAAAAATTGCAGGGAGATTAGGGATAAATGGTTACCTCTAAACGGGAGAACAACAAAGCGATGAAGCTTAATTGCTGAGAAGTCTGCTCCGACGAAGAAGACGCAAGCGTTGAGGCCGAGCCATTTTAACGTCAGAGTTCGGACTGTCGGAGGCTACAACCGTGTGAACTGTGGACTGTGGAGGATTGGAGGCCGAATAAGAAGTGAGAGAGAGATGGATTTGAGTTTAACGTCGAAGTACGATGGTCGGCCGGCGAGGGATGGAGGTGAAGAAGTCGCGATTTGCGACGGAAGATCAGAGGGAATTAGTGGAAAATGAATTCAAATTAGGGATTGGGCCAAGGGAAGGGAATATTTATGCTTATTTGGGCCAATTTGTGTAAAAAAAAAAAAATAGCCCAAGTGCCCAAACGCAACCCAATTTTAAAATCTGGTTCATTTTTTGAGTTTTGCACAGAATCGGTCAAAGTCGTATAATCGGTCCGATTCTACAATTTTGACCGATTCTACCGATTCTGCAACGACTCTACGTTCCTTTGCGATTTTGAGCGACTTAGAATCGATTTTGTGACTTTGAGTCGTGGAATCGGCGATTCTACGACTCAAAGTCGCGATTTTGATAACCTTGATTGGGAGTAAATTAAAATCTACTCAAGCGTCCTAATAACGAAGCATATAATTTTGTCACATAGGATCCCGAAGCGTGCGAGCCTACCACATAGGCTCAACACGTTCTGAATTAATATATAGGAGATATATAGGGTGATATCATTACCTAACTTATAATTTTAATATTATATGCATACAAATAACTTATAATACTTTATATATATCTGCACACACATGGCTGAATACTAGTTTGTTTGAACTAACACACACATTACTGCTAATAAATAGTAGAAAGGTAAAACTCTTCTCTATAAAAAATGAATTTGCTTGAAGTAACACACACAAATGATTTATCAATACGTAGCTCTTATATTAGTGTCTAATATTTCACCTTGACTCGTTTTCAAATTATATAACTATTAACCAAGGAATTGCAATAAATATTCACTCTTAAATGTATGCATTTTGTTAACTCACATCCACATGGACGTGTATTTGATTGTATGTGATCCGACGATATCAATCAGCCACATCGAACTTAAATGAGGGATATCAAAATGTTANAAGAACAAAACAAAACCTCACACCCAAAGGAGATGATTAAATTCCATTCGAAACCTGCAAACAATATCACAACTCTCATAAAAACGAATAAAAAAAATATCACAACTCTCATACGAAACAACTAAAATCTCCCTATTTATTCAACTCTCAACTGCTAGCATGTTACATGTAAGCCAATGTTTTTTAGGCCGTGATACATACATATTATTCCACCGGATATCTTAATTTATAAGGACATCATTTCAAGAGATCTCCTCTTTCCTAGCCTTACAGAGTTCACATAATCAACCGGGCTGTGATCCGAAAGGCCCGGGATTGCTAATCCTACAAACCTCAGCATAACAGATTCCCAGCCCTCTTTATAACCCGGCCCGTATATATAACCCATCATAAAACTCCTCACCAATTCCCAACCAGCATTTAAGTACTCAGGAACCAGAAATCGCCACCCAAAGTAATTCTTGTTGGGCTCTTCCTTCACATTCTGCACAACAATCAAACATCATTTTGACACGTTAATGCATCATAAAATTCACCTACACTCATGAACAAAGGGAGTTCAAATTAAAAGGATTAGTAACAAAAGTTATCCGCCAAGTTTGGTCTAATTACAGATATTTCAAAAACTATTTCTGTAGAACGCAATTTTTATCTTCAAAAGACGACTAAAGTTCTGAATAACTAGTCTAAGCCTATGTTTGGTAAAACTAGCTTATAGCTTTAAGGGAATTTTGAGCTTTATAGATAATAACTTATGACTTATGGCTGAAAAGCTAGCTTATATAATAAAAGTGTATGGTAAAATTAGCTGATAAGCTAGCTAAAATAAAAATTTCAACTGACTTATTTGAAAAGCTACCCTTACGAGATTAGCTCGAGCTTTTTAAAAAAGCTCGTCCTACTAAACCAAACTTATTTGAATGCAGTAAGTTTTTAAGTTAATCAAATAAGCTATAAGCTAGCTTATTTGATTACCAAACACAACCTAAACCTAGTCATGGTTAGTTCTTTTCATAATTATCGCTGCCAAAGTAACACAAAAAGTACTTACTTTCTCAACATATAGGCTGTTGAAGTATAAGCACTCCCCAAAATGCTTGTACAAGAAGGTTTTATTATCATAAGGCAATCTCGGGACAAGATCATTGCAGTAAACGACTCTAAAATACTTCGACTCGGGCTTTTCGAGACGGGCTTGCATATAAGTCCCCAGCTGTCGATTACCAATCCTAGGCTGCCCGAAAGTGTAAATCCCCAACAACTTCTTCATAATCTCCTCTTCCTCGTGCAGCACTAACACAGTCGCGAATAATATGGCGAGGGCCCCGCCAAGACTATGCCCCGTCACCACAAACTTTGCATTCTCGTGCTCTTCGAGCAAATCCTCGAGCTTTCCTCGTACGGCATAATATGCGGTTCTCTTTCCCATAGGTATAAGTTCTTCCTTCTCTGATTGGTTAAAACTAAAACCATTTAATTTGGAAGGTTTGGCTTGAAGATTTGCATAAAACGTGGAGGCTTCAACTCTGTTGCCTAAACCTAAGGCCTCGAGAAATCCCATGTGTACTTTCCCGAGTTTCGGGATTTCGTACCACGAGTAGTCGAAATCCGTGATCCAATCTTCGGCATCAAACGGTTCAGTGCCCCGGAAGCTAATGAGTATCAAGTTTGCGTCTTTTGGCTTGTCGCACATTATGAAAACTTGGGTAGAGTTCTCTTTCTGATAATCTGAAAAA